TATTGAACAACGTATATTTGAAATGTTTCGAGAAATATTTCATTGTGCAACAATCGAAGAACCACCATTTGGTATTGGTTCATGTTTATCATCACGAGCTTTATATGCAGCTGATTTAATATTAGAATTAAAACATAATAATAAAATTCAACCAAAATTATTAGAAATTAATTTTGCACCCGATTGTCAACATGCATGTACTTCTTATCCGACTTTTTATAATCAAGTTTTTAATGTTCTTTTTCGAGACCTGATCGATGATGAGGATATTGTAGATATTTCATCGTAATTATTTTAATAAATTTAGTCATGCAAAATTAATAAAACAGCAATGGTGATGGGTTATTTAACAAAGCAAAAATATATATATATGTAAAACTAATTGAATTTATTTCATTATTGAAAAATGATGAGATATGATTTAAGGTTAACTAATCTAATCAAGGAAAAAGAAAAGAGAACGTCTATTGATGAATATATGAATTACTATCTATATTGAAATTTTATTACAATATTGATGTCATCTATATGACTATTTGTTTTCTGAAGACGTTCATTTTCAAAACAATTTTTTTTGTTTGTAAAGAAACTATTAGTGAAACATACAAAAATAAAATCTTAACATTCAACAAGAAGGTTTTAGTACGACCCCATGATGAAAAGAATATTTCATGTTTGTTGTATCTAGATCAAGCGGGAAACAGTAGACTCCAATCCTTTGGAATCTCATGAAATACTTAGTAGCTCTGCAAAATTCAATTATAAAAATCTAAAACTATTTCAAAACTGTGATCTGTAAATGATACGATGAGAACCAAGAAAACTGTAAATAAACGGTCTAACTTTCGTGGTTCATTAAAATAATGGTTTTATCTGGAAACTTTTCCTTGAGTAACTTTTCGTTGATATCGTACGCGTTCCTAATTCGTAATAAGAATTTGTGAAAAGCAACAGATTTGTATACTAGCAGAGGGAATAGGAGTGCTTTGGAGTCTGCTGTTTCTCCTTTGAATCTTATAATCAGTCTTCACAAAAGTTTATTGAAATAATCAAAATATCGTTAAAAAAACTCAGATCAAAAGAATATTATAATAGATTGTTATCGTTTCTTTACAGAAGGCGTAGCCATAACGTCAATAATAGAAACCATAACCTCCGTCGTATCCATAACCGTATGGTGATCCATATGCTCCAAAGAAACTACCATCGTTGTAAGGATTTCCGAAACCAAAATTGCCATAGTGATGATGATGCCACAATTCATAGGCGCCTAGACCAACAGCCCCAGCCAACAAAGCGTCACCAAGCAAATGATGGTGATGATGATGCATATTGTGTAGATACTTGCTTAATTGTTGTCAAAAAAAAAATACACACACACACTAACTGAAGAAGTAATGTCAAGTAGTCATATTTATTCATTCGCCATATAATAAATCAGATGAAGTAAATTCATTCATGCGTGAGTTGCCAAACAAGCAAGAATAAAAAGCATGATCAAATCATCCCATCAAGCGTCATTCATTAATTAATGTATAATTTCATTTTTTCTTGTTACGTATTTCTCTCCGTGTGATACACGTAAACAACCGAATCGTTGGGTGACGCCCATTTACAAATTATGTCATAAATCATGACCACTTAAAAAATGCGTAGGACTCAATTACTAAATAAGCATAATCTAATATTTTCTTATATTTAGAAGAGAAGAGCATACAGTTCATAAATACTGTTTTTGACTTCAATACAAAAATGAGAGTGTTTCACAATTTCTCAAAAAAAATTACGCAACGTTTTTCTTTAATTATAACTACGTTTATTAAATATATTTATCAATAAAACATTACAATTTATATCATTAAAAAATAAAAAACTTATCAGTAGAAAATAAATTTAAATAAATTAAAGAATCATAGAATAAATAAGAAATTTAAAAAATAATTGAAAAAAAAACAAGCAAATGAAAATTGAATTATTGTATTAGCAAAGTGGATTTAGCCTTTGTTTGTCTACGTCTTTTTATTTTCTCGCGGATCGGCAATGTCTTTGCTACCGCTGGTGATAGTTTACAATATTTCTAACGAATAAGAATCTATTTTTTCGAATATCTTTCCTATCTATACTTTTGATCGAACTCAAACTATT